AGGACTTACGTGATTCTTCGTACGTGATTCGGTGACCATTTTCTAGACGCTTTGTTCTATCGAATATTAAACGAAACTGCTAAGAAAACAAAGATGTTATCTATGAAGTATCTGTGAAGACAAAACGTTTGGTTTATTTTGCAGAACGGTTCATTTTTTGGACTATCTTATACTGTATATCATGTTAGATATATGTTAGATCACAGACTCTTAAAGTATTTGTGCGTCAAGGAGTGTATTGCAGGGAGCGGATTTGGTATATGTTATGTGTGCTCCAGAAGCTGCGCCTGTTATCAAATCGTTTTCTCCTGAACTAATTGTTTACCCCGGTCTTGACCCTGATGCGGTTCTACCAGTAGGTTTGCTGTTACACTTTGGATTAGCGTCTTTTATAGCGCCTTTCAGAAACTTGAAAGAGTTGACGCCATAGTTTTGGGGCCTGGCTTGGGTCGCAGCCCACATGTTGCTCCCCTATTTGATAAAGTTGTAGACTTCGTCATAAAGAAAAATCTCCCTATGGTTATGGATGCGGTGAGTTGGAGTCATCCTGCATTTTCAGTACAGAGATATACTGACTGAATTTAGGACGGGCTTTGGTTCCTCAATGAGTCGATACGTAAAGGTATCAAGCCCTTACCTTCGGCAATCTTGACACCAAACATGGTAGAGTTCTCAAGATTATGCGAATCTGCTTTGGACGAACATGATGTTCTCGAGATAAAAGTATGGCGAACTTTCCAAGAATTATACGGTTCTAATCTATATCTTTATCATAGGATCAGTCAAAACTAGAGGATCTGGCTTCACGTTTGAGTACTCGCCTAGGCACATCGCTGTTTGTCAAGGGGAAAGTGGATATCATCACAAATCCAGATGGAAAAGGTTGATAAAAATCTCTTGTCACTCATATGTCAGCTGGTTTCTTGTATTTTGGTCATTCACTTACTGCACTTTATAGCCTTCAATTTCAAACTTTTTTCTACTTTTCTAGTCACGAATCATATCTAGGGGTGCTTTTTGTTTTGGCGAAGTTTCTGAGGATTATTTTTTCGTGTAGTATATTGGCGCTCTTACTATTGCAAAAATTTAAGGGACAGAATCCTTATGGTCATGAAAGACTGCACATAAAAGGGAATTGTTGGAATTGTTGGTAAAACGAATCCGAGATACTGGGAACGTTCGCGAATGATGTTCGTTTCAACTCGATAGTCGAAAAATGTCGAAAAGAATTATAAATCTTTGCCTTTTTTATATCTTATCAGATCATCTAGATGTCAACAGACAGCAACTTTCTTTCATAATTGGAAGCTTGATTTCCAAAATTGCAGAGAAAAAGATGTCATACGATTCTCATGCAAACAATCTGAATAATTTCAAGGACCACCGCATATTTACCGTAACCTCACTGAAAAAAAATTGTTTTGTAGAAAATGGAAAATTTTCAAAAATCACCGTATATGTATCGTAACCTCAATAAGAAGTATCTTGGGGAACGATATTTTAGTAGAAACTTCCCTCGTAAATTTGAGTGAAAACAGTTCACCGGTATAGCCGAAACGTAATCCGGGCAAACTGAACTGTTAACAATTTCAAAAGTCTTTAACCAATGTCGCAATTGCAAAACAAGGATAATACTGTAGTTGCTGTATATCAGATGACAAAAAAAATTGTTGTGTTTAGTGACTGTCGGACAAGATGAGGGTTCTCCAAGAAGATGCGGAGGACAGGGTGATGTATCAAGTGGGACACTTGCAATGTTTCTGCTCTGGGCAACAAGGTATTGTGCTGGTTTTTCCCTTAGGCCCGTATGCACGTACATCCCCGCTGGGGAGG